GGTTTGCTCATTAGTGGCTGCTTCTTGCTTTCGCTGCTTATCGTCTCGCCCTGCTGCGCCTGGGAAGGTTTTGATAAGAGCCCCATGGGCGATGGGCCTGGGCTGGCAGAGGGCCAGGGTGGCTCTTTGCGCTGCTGCATTGGACAGGCTGGAATTTTGGCATGAACTTGAAGCCGAAAACAACTCTGCAAACAGCTACGGTCAGCTCCAGATGGGATTCCTGGTGTGGTTACCCAGGAACGTGGCCAGCAGAGCGAGGGAGGGGATGGTGTCCCTTTGGTGAGAGCAGCCCACCTGTGCTGCTGTCTCCAGCTCTAGGGCCACCAACGTAAGAAGGAGATGGTCCAGAGGAGGCCACGGAGATGCTGGGAGGGCTGGAGCCCCTCTGCTGGGAGGACAGAGAGTTGGGGCGTTCAGCCTGGAGAAAAGAAGGCTCCAGGAAGACTTTAGAGCCCCTTCCAGTCCCTAAAGGATCTCCAGGAAAGCTGGGGAGGGACTCTGGATGAGGGAGGGGAGCCCTAGGAGGAGGGGGAAGGGTTTGACACTGAAAGAGGGGAGATGGAGCTGAGCTGTGGGGAAGAACTTGTTTGGTGTGAGGGTGGTGAGAGCCTGGCCCAGGTTGCCCAGAGAAGCTGTGGCTGCCCCATCCCTGGAGGGGTTCAAGGCCAGGCTGGAGGGGGCTTGGAGCAACCTGGTCTGGTGGGAGGTGTCCCCCCCATCATGGAACTGGATGATCTTGAAGGTCCCTTCCCACCCAAACCATTCTGTGACTCTATGAATGGGGGGCGCTCATCCCTCTTCCCTTCTCTCCACAGACGTGGAGGAGAAATTCCACCTGCAACTTCGTGATGCTGAAGACTCTGGTCTAGAAGTGAGCCCCCGCAGCCCCCCCAGTGCCTGACAGGACTGCAGCTCCCAATACACCCCCCACCCAGACCAACCAACCATGTCCTAATCCAGCCAAGCCCCTGCCAGCCTGAAGTCCCCAGCTCTCCAGCCCCGTTGGCCACCATGTCCCCTGTCCCTCCCTTCTGTTACCCCTGGCTATGGGCAGCCACGTCAGGGCAGGGGCTGGTGGCACTGTCCACTCTGTGCCACCCTTGTGGGCACCCAGATGATGGCCATCAACTCATGTCATGGCTCCTCTTTGATTTTTCTCCAGGTGCGGACGATGGAGGAGGAACCAGCAGTGTTGTCCTCTCAGGTACCACCTCCGTGTCTACCCCTGTGCTCTCCGTCCCCTCTCCCAGTTTGGCCAGTCCCACTGGTGTTACTGGGAGTCCCAGCAGCACCAGCTTCTGGATCTGGGCTCACCAGCATCTCTCACCCTTTCTGTGCCTGGCAGGGGGTGTCTGGTGGCCAGCAGGCTCCGGTAGCCGGCCCACGCTGCCCACGTGGCCGTGATCCAGCTGCATCCCAACTCCAGTGAGGATTCCACGGACACCCTGGACCCGCTCAGCGGTGAGTGACGTTGGGGACAACAACCCGTGGGCCCTCCCCTGTCCCCTCACCCTGCTGTGGGGGCACATGTCACCTCTCGTGTCCCCCTTCGCTGTGGGGCAGAGTTCCTCCTGCTGCTCTCCTGCCCTTCCCCACCCCCTCACTTTTGGGGGGGGTGCACCCCAAGGCGGGTACCCCGTTGTTCTCCCACCTTCCCAGTGATGAGGACCAGTTCCCCCCAGTTGGCATGGGGAGGGGGTGCACGTTTTGGGGGGGATAACAGTGCCCAGGGTGATGGCACCATGGGGTGCCCCCAGACCTGGCATTAAACTCTCTGTGACCGCACAACCTGCCCGACTCTCTCTGAGGGGGGGTACAGACCCCTTCCCCCCTCCCAGGGCCCCACAGAGGGGCTTCACACCCCCCCCCTCAGCCCTGGGTGCCCCCCACCCCCCGAGAGCACGAAGCAGCCCCCCAACCCTCACTCAC